TCCCAAATTGTTGCCTGCCAAGAGCTGTGTCTTTGTTCCTGATGCCAATTTAATAACAAGGACATGGTTTTGAGAAAAAGGTAAAAGAAGTGTTATTGCTTTGCTAGTAAGGAAAAACATGGCGGACTCCTGTCCCAAAGATTATGATTCTCTTGCTTCTGCTTTTATTCAGTGTATTGAAAAAAGAATTTATTTTTTTAAAAATAATTCCAAAAGAATTTTGGGATTCCACATAAATTGTAGGGTTTTTTCCTAGTTCTGTGAAGAATGCCACTGATATTTTGATAGAGATTGCCTTGGGTATGATGGGAATTTTAACAATATTAATTCTTCCAATTTATGAACATGAGAAGTCTTTCAATAATTTCGTGACTTCTTCAATTTTTTCTTTCTTTCTGCTTTTTTTTTTTTTTTTTTAGAGCCAGGGCCTTGTGCTTATTAAGCACATAATCTATCATTGAGCGATTCCCTCAGTTCCTTCTTTGATTTCTTTTGTAACTTTTTGTAGTTTTCATTCTAGAAGTCTTTCACTTCTTTAGATAAGTTTATTCCTAGGTATTTTATTTTATTTTAGCTATTGTAAATGAGATTTCTTTTATGATTTCTTTTTCAGCAAATTTATTATTGGCATATAAAAAAGGTATTTATTTTTGTACATTGAATTTGTATCCTGTTACTTTACTGTATCCATAGTCTTTAGGAGTAGTCTTTAGGAAAAAAAATATATATATACCTTTGTCTTATTCTAGATAGCAGAGGAAATGCTTTCAGTTTTTCCCCATTCATTGTGACGTAGGTTGTAGGTTTGTCAAATATAACCTTTATTATGTTGAGGTATGATCCTTCTATGCATAATTTGTTCAGGGATTTTATCATGAAGAGATGCTGAACTTTATTAAGTGCTTTTTTGCATTCATTAAGATGATTGCATAATATTTATCCTTCACTCTGTTGATATGATGTTGACATTAATTGATTTGCATATTTTGGACCAGGCTTGCGTACCTGGGATGAAATCAATGGTGAATAATTTTTTTTTTTTGTACCAGGGATTGATTGAGTCCAGGGGCACTCAACTTCTGAGCTTCATCCCCAGCCCATTTTAGGTTATATTTTGTGACAAGGTCTTGCTAAGTTGCTTAGAGCTTTGCTAAATTGCTGAGGCTGGCTTTGAACTTCACATACTCCTGCCTCAGCCTCCCAAGTCACTAGGATTACAGGTGTGCACCACTGAACCTGTCCTTGCTACTGATTTGTTTAACATTTTTGCATCTGTATTCATTAGAGATATTGGTCTATAGTTTTCTTTCTTTTTTTTTAAATTGTGTCTTTGTGTGATTTTGGCAACAAGGTAATACTGACCTTATAGAATGAGCTTAGGAAGGTTTCCTTCCTTTAAATTCTATGAAATAATTTCAGAAGAACTAGCATTTGTAGACCTTTAAATATTTGGTGAAACTTAGCAGTGAAGCCATCCAGTCTTCCTGCTCAAGATGACTCCTGGCCACAGCAACCTGCAGGTTCCCTGAGAGAGCCTTTTCCAAAGCAGGGCTACTGTGTAGATTTCAGGTTACTCATCTAATTGGGCTGCAAGTCTTCATGAACTTGGACTTTACATTAACTACTATTGCCAACATCTGTACTGACAATTTTCTGGGGACTCTCTCTCTTTGATCCTTACCCCCGGCAAAGGGAGACTCCTTTCCCCCAGCTGTGTAGACAGGGTTTTTCTTTCTGTGCTATTATTCCAGGTGTCTGAGTCTCACAAGTTTTGATTATCCTCTTGCTGATCTGCAGTGTTCTGCCACAGTCCCCCACCTTGAAATGCAGCTATACACCTGTTACTTTGATTCCTCTTTAGAGAGGACAAGGTGAGTGCTGGGCACCTCTATCTGGCAGTCTTGTCCTCCCATCATTTACTTTGATCATCAACATGTTTATTTTATTTGGTTTTTATTTTAATTACTCAGGGAACACAGACAATTAATCAAATTTAATAAAATGATTCTGCCATTTCAAATTCCTGAAACAACTGACTATCAGTGTTGTATATCACCTGCCTTGTGTAAGAAGATCACTTTTAAGAAGATGAAATCATAACTGGTACAAATATGAAAAAAGCATGCAACAGAGAGTTTATCTAACTCATGAATTAATAAAGGGAGTGTATGATGTTAAAACTCCTCCAAAAGCAAATGTCAAAAGAGAAAACATATTTATACTTTATACACAGACAACTAGGAACCTGCTAATAGATGCAAAACTAGATAACTTCTTTTAATGCACTAAAATATAATGTTTGTAATAATAATTTATAAAGACTGAAAGTCACTTATATCTCTACCAAACAAAATTGATTTGCATTTCTATGGAAAATAATCATTTGTATCACTGTTACTTTCTGCATCTTTGAGGATTGTAAAATAGACAAAGATAATTAAAGGCATACACTCCTATAGATTCAGCTTCCATCAAAGGGTCTGTTAGACCCTGTGGACAGGATAATCAGTTGTTTATTTCCATTTCAAAGCCTGACATTTCCATTTCCAATAGAAGTAATACCCATAGACATCATGAAGAAAATTCAAACAATTGATTTAATAAATATGTCTGTTTTATTATAGATGAATGTATTATTAAACCTCAGTTCTGTTCACAAAACAAAATATTCAGAGTTACACATATTTGATTATAGAGGTGCACATGGGTCTCTATTATGGTTCTGGTACTTCAATCGAGCAGACTCAAGTGTAGCTTCTCAGCCATGTACAGCCTTTATGAACACAGAAAATGAACACTTGATTCACAGGAACCAAGAGAAGGAATCAGAACATCTGCTGGGAATTTCTAATGGCACCCTGTTATAGAAGTGTTCAAAAACTGAGAAATGACAAATGATGCTGTGGCTTTAATTATGTTTTAAGGTTCAAGCAAAATGCAGATGCAAATTTCTGTGTTGTAACAGCAGCACTGTGATATGCCCTGAGACTCCCTTCTGCACTTGAATTCACTGGGACCTGAGACAGGTGCAGAGAGTCCATCAGAAACTGCTGAGCCTGCCTTGGTCAGGGTTTCTAGGTGAAATTCTGGCCATCCATGCTGCTTTTCCCTCTCCCCACTATCTCATTCTTCTCTAACCTTTGCCCACCCTGTGTTTCTTCCTGCCTCTCCTGCCTTTATTCCCCTTCCCTTTCTTCTACCCCTATTCTTTCCTCTTCCCTTTTCACTCTTCCATTTGATATTCCCTTCTTTCTCCCTGTCTTCTCACCTCCAACAACTTGACATTTCCTTCACCCTTACTAACCTCAGTGCTCTTTCTTGTGGGCATGCCTGAGGCTTCATTTTCTGAACGGAGCCCTTCACCTACTCTTAACAGTTTACATGAGAAAAGTAATGTACAGCAAGTGACAAATGGCGGCATCTTAGCAAATATTAAAACAATGTCCCCTATGAAGTTGCTGTGCTTTGTCAGCCAGAGCTTAAGCTATAAAACCCTAACAACAAACGTGTGTTTTCCTATTTTTTTCTTTCCTCTAAAGTTCATAGGTGATCTGTAATTAACAATGTTCCTCCTACTAAGCATGAATTTACACAAATCAAACACTTCTGGGCCTTGGGTCTGTGGCTATAACACTGAAACAGATTCAGTCCAAGACCTCATGGAGTGACAGCCTGTGAGGCAGAGGGACAAACAGGCTTCCTGGCTTTGAGTGTGATGAGAGAGATAAGTATGATTTGCTAGGGAAGAATGCTAAAGGGGCCCAGAAATCAGAAAATGCATTCTGGAAGATGTAAGAGTCAAAGGACTGAGTGCTGGGGTTAGGGAACATTCTTCTTTCATAAATAGGGAAGGAGGGACTGTGAAGGGGATTGAAGAAAGGACAGGTGGAGGGTTACCTTGAGGTGAAGTAGGAAAGGTTGTCTCATGTCTTGTTACAGTATTTGGTTTTTATCCTTCAGCTAATAGGAGACTCTAAGCATGGAACTCTTAATCATGAAGACAGCTCTTGACAGAGATTACCCTGGCTGCTGGGAGGACCATAGACTGGAGGTGAGTCATTGACAAGGACCAACTGCTGTGCTTTTAAGTCAGTGATACATTTGCAGTCTATGCCATAGCTCAGCACCCCCAACCCACCCCCACCACTTTGCACCAGTCTCTAAGTATATTGATCATTACCCCTCAGACCAAAAAGGAGATAGTCCAGGTCATTTGACAATTCAGCCTGTAAAAGTCAATGCACCCCAGGGTCCCCTCTTCTTCCTGTGCCCATGACTGACTTCATGGACACACACTCTGTACAGTTGCAGAGAAATGTGCTCAGCAGGGCCCCACACTTTGTTTAATGCCCTGTTGTTCCATCTTGCAATTTTGAATTTCTGAATGAGTATTCTTGCATATTCATTTTATACCAAGTCCTACAAATTTTATAGAGGGTTCTACTTCTAACAATCTGTGAATAGTAGCCATCCAATAATTCTTTAAACTCTAGAGTAAAATGGCCCCAGGAATATGTTTTTTTTTTCTCAAGATTAGGAGCAGCATATCTAGACTTTTCAAAGATAGAGCAGAGAGGCTCTCTCCTGAGGCATGGGGGAGCTGATTTCTTCAGCCTGTTCTCACCTGCCTCTTACCAGCTGCTCTGCAAAACCACATCTGGACCATGGCCAGAATACGCTTCAGTTCTGTGGAAGAGGATGAGGGCATTCTTGACTTTTGCAGAGTTAAACACTTGGAGAAACTTCAGGAAGAAAGCACTTGGGGAAAGGTAAAGCTAGCTGGCCATCAGCTCCCCGCCGGTTCCCCCTGCTTATTCTCATTTTCATGGTTCTCAGCATGTTTATTCTCTTCTTTGCAGTGGTCAAAGAACAAGTTTAAATTTCTTATTTCCTCTAGGGAGCCTAGAGAGAGGCACGAGGCACCAAATACAGGAAGTCATGTGGAGAGGATCTCTTATTTATTACAGTCCCCATATTACTTCCCTTCTCCCAGCCTCCGCCCCCACCTCCAGCCACACTGTGTCTCCTTGCTCTTTCCTGCAGCAGAGAGCAGAAGGCAGTTCACCTCTGCTCTCTGAGGTCTGGAATCCTGCAAGCCCTGAGTATCTGAAGGCTGGTCTTATGAAACTACATCCTTCTCTGGTTGTGTGATTGAATGGGGCGCTCTTAAGTTTCACCTCAACTAAAGGGTTTGGGGAAGATCTCCAGTACAGGACTGCATTTCAAAAGCCTAAAAAGCCCAGAAGAGAAAGGTAGGCACTTGCACAATTTTTTATTTTGTCTTGTTGAATGGGAATCAAGCTGCTCTGAGCTAGTTGTGAATGTCCAATGTAGCCCTTTCAGTTGGCTTTGCGTTTTCAAGCTATGTATCCTGTGGAGATTTGATGATTTATGTGAATATGAGGGAAAAGAGTGAAAAGGAGGTGAAATTTGGTTTTTTTCTTTGGGTAAAGAATACCAACCAACATAGTACAAAGAGAAGCCAATTTTTACTTTCTTTAGAGGGAAAAATATCATTAGGAACTGTAATTTTGCTTTCCACAAAAGGGGTAAAAGGAGTTTGCCAACTCCTTTTTTAATAATATAGAATCCCACTATGATTTTTAAAATTAATTTCTGAGCTTTTTTGTTAAAGATGTATTAAAATTGAAAGAGAATTTGGTAATAGAAATTTAAAAAAGGTGTTTCCCATTGGGGGTACCTATGAGTTATAAATAAAATAAAAGCGCTTTGTTAGGGATATGGTGGACATTATTTTCCACAATTTTCTATGAAATAGTTGTTCTCCTCAAGATTTCCTGAAATTCGTTATAAGTAATGACAACGTGTATCAAGTAATGGCTGAGAAATCTGATTTTATTTATTCTATTGTGTTAATTGATTGCAAAGATAGTACCCATCCTTTATCTGGCTGCTCTTTTTTGGCAATTGTTTGTTGGAGGCGATGTGTTAGCTGAGACCTAGAGAAAGGTCAACACATATTCCAATAACACTACGTATTGTTTTGGATTTGGGGGGGGATGGCTTTATGATTTTATTTTTATTTCATTTTATCCTCATAACCAGCTTTTCCTCTGGGAGAAATATTTTATACCGACCTCATAGAATATCAACCAATTACACCTATCCTGCAGTCCATTTTCCATGTCCTACGGAGTTCTTGGGAAAATGCAGTTTAGATCTTGTCACTTTTCTCAGTGAAATATGTCATTGTACTCCATTGCTTACAGACACGTACCTAACCTGTAGTCAGGGGACCCACTGCTTCATGTGTTGCTTGGGAGCTTGCTGTCCCCAGACTTACAGGATGTGCATTTTACCCAGATTCCTGGGTGATCAAGCACTGACTTGAGGGAGGGTAGATGAGACTTTCAAGGCCTGTTTCTTCAGTTCTGCCAGCGTCAGCTCTCACCCCCTGAATCTTCAACTGTACTGAATGCTTCCATTTTCCCAGCAAGGGAGCGCTCTACTGCCTACCCATGTCTGGGCATGCTGTTCTCCCTGCCTGGATACCTCCATTCATTTATCTTCTCCACCCAGTTACCCATTACAGCCTGATTTGTACCCTCATTACCCTTTATCCACTGCCTGCTGAGCACCCTCCAGGTCTGTGATTTTGTGGCACTTGGTAAAATACTTCTGTCATAGCCCTTAGCACATTCAATGACAGTTTCTGTATTTATTCTCTTCCTCGAGGAGTTATTGGTCTCTTATTTCTGAATCTGTGCCACTTGACACAATGCCTGGCACATAGCTTGTGCTCAGTCAATGTTGGTTGAATTCATGAATGAATGAACGAATGTGTACCTTACCTGAAGAAACTGAATTGATTATCAGAACAAGATCTATGTGTTTCCAGGAGCTTCCCGATCCCTATAACATTTGCTCTCACTCTTTTTCTCTGAGGCTTTGTCAGATTATTTATCCTCCAAATATTTTGAGTACCTGTGATGTGCCACACCTTTTAGAATCTATTTCTCCGTGTTTTTGTGGGTAGCCTCTCTCTCTCTCTTTGGGTGATTTCCCATCAGTGTTCCCTTTCTTCACCACTCCAAGTCAGGGATTAGCTTTTCAGCAAATAAATATTGCGCACTTTGCACATGCTAGGCAGATTCCTATGTGCTAGGATTGTGACAGCAAATGACACCAGATGTGGTTCCTGCTCCGTGCAACCCCCCATGTGGAAGACATTTTATCATCCTCTACCCTGTTTTTCCTTAATGAAAACCCAAAGAAGCATGCCCTCTAGTAAGTGTTGATGCATCCAAGTAAAGACATCAGAAGCAAAGTAGGAAAAAGTTGAGCTGTGCTCTGGGGCTCTGAGTTTGCTCTGGTACCTACAACTCTCTTGCCAGGTGACTGTAGGTGAATCCACAAACTTTTCCAAACCTTGAATTTTTTTTTCAAGTAGCAAACAAGACAGAGCTACAGGGGAAAGCCCTTGACTTCATGGAGTGCACAGAGCAGAAACTCTGGTTTTCTAGGGAACCTCTGCTTTCATGCCACATGATAATATAAAGACAATTCTCTGCAGTTCTCTGCGTCAGAGCAGCAAAGAGTCTCAGGGAAGTTATTTCATTACTATGCTCATGTGCTCAGCTATAGATATTAATGTTGTCCTTTAGTACATTTCCCCAGAGCACAGTGTGACAATGATTCCTCGGGAGCATGTCCTGTGACATAGAGGAATTTCCTAGCTATTAATTTGGGGGCTTGAAGTGGGGAAGCTGAATGGAGAGGCAGTATCATCCTTAAGCAGCCTCTGCTTTGGGAAAGCAGACAGAAAGAATGGAATTGGCTTTACCTAGTGGTGCAGGAAAATGTGGAAGCCTGTAGACACAGAACCAGTCCTATTATGTTGATCCTCATTGTAGCACAGGGCTCCCTTTTTGACTACATGTGGGATTTTCCTCTTTTTTCCTAAGGATTTGTATTAGCCAGATTTTGCCTGGAATCAAAGGTTGGGGCAGAGCATAGTATCATTTGCCCCAAACCTTGTGCTCCTATAGGGTGCGTAGATTGCTGGGAGACCAACACTTGCTATTTGTTCTCCAGGCCCAACCTGCAGGCCTAGGCAGAAATGAATAGCTTAGGTAGTCTCCAGTGACCACTTTGGCTCTCTTCAACTCTTTCTTCACGCCTCCATCTTCTGAAGCTTCCAGATGAAATACCTCCTGGACATCTAGAATTTTTCTTTCTTACTTCCTGCTACGTATCCATCTTGTTACCCCCATACTTCCTGCATGACCACATTGGGTGGCAATGTGGTCATTCAGCAGCACTTGCTTGCTGGTCATTTCCTAATTGTTCAAATTCCCATTAATCTCTATTAATGAGCACACGTTGTAGCAACAAAAGAGACGTTGACTGGCATGGAGGGGACATTTAGAGGACATTTAGATCTCAGACTGTATCTGAGACCAAACTTGGCAACCATCAGCTCAAAATTTTTCTTTTAACCAGAGGCACATGGTAGATTAGAAAGAGGCAGACTTAGTTTTAAATTCCCCATTGGCTACTTCCTTAAGTAAGCAATTGTACTCACTACGTCTTAGTTTTTGTTTCTGGAAATATTTGCTAATACATAGCACTCAAAGTGTAGATAAGACTGGTTAGTGAAACTGCATAATACATTACTTCAAGAAATAGATCTTAAGAGAGGAGGCTCACCAAGATGATGAAAATGAGAAGAAATATCACCTGCAGAAAGAATACTTGCAAGAACATTCAGGGGACATTTGAAGGAAGAAGTAAGTCTTGCAGCACATGAAGGCTGCTTTCAAATATTTAAAGGTGGCTTTGAGTGGGAAAAGACAAGGCCACCAGATCAATGAATGGGAATGATAGGGTAACAGATTTCAGCGGAATGTGCGTTAAGGATTTACCCACCATCAGAATGCTCTAGAACCAGGAGTGCTGCCTTGTGGCATGATGAACGTCCTGTCCCGGGCAAAGTTCCATCACCCTGGAAGACCAGAGACCGGGGTGTTCCCAAGCAATGTCTGTGCTGGGTGTGGTCTGGCCGATGACCTCAAAGGTCTTTTCCCGCTACCCAGAGTCTCCTGATGTCAGTGCCTTAGCCCAAGCCATCAAATAAAGGGCTTAAAAAAAAAAAAAAAAAAAAAAAAACTTCACCAAGCTAGAGTGGGGGGAGCGAGTGACTTTCCGATAGTTAGTCCTACTTTTCTGCTGCAGTGATTTTAAAATAAGATCCTTGTAACAACAATGAGGTAGGTTGGACTTCCAGGAAAAAGAGAAATAGAAATGAGAACAATGAGGAGGGAAAAGTTCATTCCAAACCACTCTTCTTGGGTTACTCTCCAACTTGATTGTGGGTTACTCCTTGTGCTGCAAAGACATTTCTATTTCATGGAAAATTGCTGTGTTTTGGTACATTTTCAGAAGTACCAAGCAGAAGTGGGTATCAGCAAATGCCACTGTTTGTCAAATCGAAACAAAGCCTTGATTTATTTTATTCTCTCAGTTTACCTAGGCTTGCTTTCTTAAAAACAACAATATTAAAACAATCTCTTTGAAATAAAATCAACTGTGCAGGACAAAAATCATAGAAACCCTTGCAGACCAGTGTGTTTATTTTTAGATGCACATCAGCCTACCCAGCATAGCAAAGCAACTGTCTCATGTCCAAAGCATGGCCCTGGGAATTTCCTCTAACAAGGCTGTGTTTCCGCCCATTGTTGCAGTACAAAGGGCAGAAGGAGGCCAGAGTGGAGGCTCATGTCAACCCCGCCTAGAGTGAAATCTGGGACCTGTCATCCCCTTAGTCCCTGTGATTCTGAGTGCATCTATGGGGGGTGTGGGGTGGTCAAGATAGAAGTCTCGATTCTGGGCAGATGCAAATGAGTATACATGGATGATTATTTCATTAAAAATATCTCAGAAACTAGTGATAGCAATTTAAAAACAAAGGCTCTGCTTTCTATTTGTAGTCAAGTATCTAACCCTGGTGCTATGAAGTGGATTCTTATATACTCCTGAAACAGGAACACCATTTGAGGATGCTGAGTTGGATTGCAATTAACAAAGCAGTTTTAAATAAAAGTCATAAAAGCACACACAGTAAAAACAAAAGTCATAAAAGCAAACACAGCTCCAATAAATGCACACACACACACACACACACACACATACACACACACACACATACTTGTTCTTTGTAAGAGCAATTATCAGATCCTTGAATTACCCAGAATTTTGCTATTATTGTACGTCATTTACTGATTTTTTATTT